TCTCTCTCTCTCTCTCTCTCTCTCTCTCCTCTCTTTCTCAATCTATCTCTCTCTATCTCTATCTCTTCCACTCCCATTCTCTCCCTCTCTCCTTCTCTCCCTTCACGCTTTCTATCTCAATCTCTCTATCTCTATCTCTATCTCTCTCCCTCTTTCTCTCTCATTCTCTCTCTATCTCTAACGTTTCCTCTCTCATTCTCTCTTTTCCTCACTTCCTTTTCTCTCTGTTTCTCTCTCCCTCTCCCTCCCTCTCTCTCCCCTCACTCGTTCTCTCTCTATCTCTATCGTTTCCTCTCTCATCCTCTCCCTCCCTCTCTCTCTCTCGCATTGACTCTCTCGGCTACAGCCTCTGCGCTACACGACTCGTGTGTGTTTTTGTCGTCAGGGTGATGGGACTTCCACCCGAGGCGGACTGGCCCAGCGATGTGTCGGTACCCTACAGCTCCTTCCTCAGCGTCAATCGCAAGCCGCTGAGCAGTCACGTTCCCGGTATCTCCGCCGACGGAGAACGGCTGCTCTCCGTACGTATCTCGTCTCGTTCACCTAGATTGCGCTGCCACGAGCAGTTCTTAGACGGTCGCCGAGTCGTCAGAGGCTAATAGTTACGATTATCGCGGGTCTTTGAATTTGATATGAATGACGACATTTTTGGCTTGATGATGTCGTGATCTTGAAATATATATATATATATGTATGATTATGTTATACTGTAGTATGAAATATTATAACAGGGGATATTCCTGTTGCTAATATAGTCTTTGTATATTATAATTAACATACAATATACAGTGTTTCCCCTGGCCAAAAAAGTCTGCGAGGTGGTAAATCTTTGTGTGTGGTGTGTTTGCGCCTTTCGGTGTCCTAGCAAAGCAAGCACCTGTGGTGCTCGCCCAGCTAGGGGGGGTCCGGGGGCATGCCCCCCGAGTTTCTTTTTGAAAAAAGTAGCGCAATTTGGTGTATTCTGCTATTAAGCTATTCTGAACACATTGTATAAGACTCCTGAATCTCTTTTTCAAGTTGTCAAAAGTTTCGTCAGCGAGGCGGTGTTTTGCACAAATTTCTGTGTGGCAGCTGAGAATTTGAGCGTGTCAATGCAAGGGAAACACCGATATATATATATATATATATATCCATTTTTTTGTTAAAATGTGTGTAATTCTTGTAACCGTGGAATCATTTCAGCGTCTGCTTGAGTTCAACCCGAACAAGCGCAGCAGCGCTCGCGACGCGCTCCGCGAGCCCTACATCAAGCGGCCGCCAGGGGGCGCACTATCGCCGCGCGCACCCGAGTCGCCGACGACGAGGCGGGAGTCCGTTGCCGCGGCGACGGACGCGGCGTCTGCGAGCGACGGAGAGATGAACGTGAGCGGGGCGTCGGCTAGCGACGTCGGCGGGACCTTGAGCTCCGACGATCCGAACACGTCTACCGAGTCGCAGAGCGCCTCGAGGTAGTGGCGCGCGTTGCCGCGGCGACGCGTCCCGTCGCCGGGGGCATCGTCGTAGCGAACACTGTTAGGGCATTGTCTCGGCGACCGTTGTCAGGGGCATCGTCTTAGCGAACACTGCTGGGGGCGTCGTCACGGCAACCGTTGTCGGGGGCATCGTCGTAGCAAACGCTGCTGCGTCATCGCCGCTGCGACCGTTGCCGGGTCGTCGTCATGGTGAACAATGTTGGGGCATCGCCACGACAACCCGGCGTTGGGTGACTCGTCGTCACGGAGACTGTCGTCGACGCATTCGTGCACACGTGAGATGCGTGGGGGGCCGAGAAGCGATATCGGTGTAGCCTCCGCCGATCACCATGGTTACGAAAAGCCGGCACGCGAACTATTGCGCGATGATTGGTCACACCACATTGTAACGCCACCGCCGGGGAAACCTCACGGAAACGGAATACGTCTGCTTCTTTGAAGAAGCGTACGCCGGAGCGCGTTTTCGTAACTTTCCCGGCTGCAATATTGATGCATGCGCGCGTGCTGGACGACCGACGTCGGCAAGCAATAATTACTACTGCGTAATTACATGCGTCTATGTACTAATTGCTCCCGTGCCCCCCCCCCAGCCTGTTATAGACTAGGACCAGTAGCTCGTGAACAAATATTTATGATGATTACTGTCGGCGGTATGACTCGAGGTGACGATAGAACAGTCTTATTAAAATCTTATAGCCGGGATTTTTTGTTTAGAGCTAACTGCCTGCCCTTTTGTGTTTCGACTAACTGTCATTATTACGAGGTAAAGTCGAGTGGACGGGAATCCTGTTAGAATACGGTGAATGAAGTCATTTTTCCTGCCTCAAACAGAATGAACTGTCGTTAGCCACTCACGGCTGCGGCTGTCAAAACATGGCCGCGTTAGTAGTAACACATGCGTCTAAACAGAGGAATTGCTCCGACCTGTGATTGGAGGATAAAAATAGACCCCGCCCACTCTCGTCGCATACGCTATGCTATGACCGGTAAGAACGTGTACTAACTATCATATGGAGCGAACGAATTGAGTTACATTTCTATAAATTATAGCAATTATAGACACATGTCTTAGCCTTAATCTCTGTGAGTTTTGAGTCTATTGAAGCGCGATTAGTCTAATTAATTAGCAAATATGCACGCGCGGCTATGACCGGTGACACGAAACGTCACGAATTCTATTTTTATCCTCCAAAAATGGAAAAGTGGGCGGGGTCTATTTTTATCCTCCAATCACAGGTCGGAGCAAATCCTCTGTTTAGACGCATGTGTAGTAACTGTCTACCTCTTTCCCGCACTGCCCCGATGCTGCTAAACGCTGCAGCCGATCTTTTACGTCACGTGTTGACGTCTCTCATTTGGGGCATTAATATCGATTACTCATACGATTCCAAGGTGCGAAATAGTCAGTCCGTCGGTTTGTAATAGGCAATTCGTTTCACAGTTTTCGTAAGAGCGAGAGAGAGAGAGCAGAGAGAGAAGAGACGAGAGAGAGAGGAGAGAGAAAGAGGAGAGGAGAGAGACGAGAGAGAAGAGAGAGAGAGAGAGAGAGACGAGAGCGAGAGAGAGAAGAGAGAGAAAGAGAAGAGAGAGAGAGAGGAGAGGAGGAGAGATAGAGAAGAGAGAGAGAGAGGAAGCATTCGGTGATAATAATTGTATTTGGGGTATGATGCCACACGTTCTGTTTTCGTGGTAGAGATGTACGATGAACGTGTGTCTGTGTGCGTCGGTGGCTGCCGTGCGTGCGGGGCGGCGTGAGTAGTGGTGTGCGCGCGTGTGCCCCGCGTGTGCGTGAGAGAAAGTGAGATCATTGTGTTGTTTATTAATAATTTGGCCTGTAATGTTGGTCTTCCATATTGCTTTACTATTGATATAAATGCATCGCGTGTTCACACAGGCGTACCGTACCGTACCGTATATGCCTTACAAGCAAGTTTAATTGACGGCACGGATTTGATACGTGATATTGATAAGTTCTCAGGCTCAGTCAATCTAACTCTCAGTTAATTAAGGTGTCTAACGCCAATGCCGCATGTAATCGTACACCGCAGAACCATAGATAGAAGAAGGTTCTCTATCTAATGGTCTGGTAACCGCCTTTGGTAACTAGAGTCCCTTCTATATAAAGGAACTCTAGGTAACGTGTGCTCGCTGCGCTACCTGGTGGCGGCAAGGTACGGCTGGCGGGATGATAGGAATTACTGATAGCGTAAACAGATCTATTCTATAACCGAGATCAGGCCCGTAGGAAGGTATATGACATTGGGGTGGCAATGGGTTATAGACGTGCTAGCCAGTCTGCGAGACCCGTAGCGCCCAGATTGGGGAGATAGTCTGGAAAGAATAGAAAATTTTTGAATTTTCAATATTGAAATGATGCTTTCTCGTGCACACTGGCATTGCAAATTGCAATTGCAAATTGCAATTGTAAATTGATAGTGGCTGTGTATTAATAACTTAAACAAATGTCTGGAAATTATTGGGGGGCAGGCGCCCCCCCCAGTTCCTACGGGCCTGACGGAAATGGAGAATATTCTGCTCGTAGTAGAACCTAGTGGCAATTTGTTTCCGATTGAACTTGTTGAGGTTTTCTCCCAATGAATGACTGATATAATTCTCTGAATGTTTCTTGGATCGAAACGATCCGTATCAATGCATACGAATGATGTGATGAGGAAATGGATACTTTCGTTGAAGTTTATTTATTACAACGATCAACACTGCCACCGTATTTTGGGATGATCGACCTTTTACTTTTTTGCCATCCAGTCGGTGTATGATAAAGGACGATGGAGTGGCTATTATATGGAAGTAATTTGTTTGCAAATACTTACTTATTGATTTGTTTAAAGGTGCAAACACTTACTTATTGATTTGTTTAAAGGTGCAAACACTTAGGAGGACCGGGTGCGTGCGCTAGTGACAACTGGCTCATTGAACTCTTATTATGTATTTTGTACTTTAATTCCTGCGTATTGTTTTGTCACTTTTCGGTAACAGGGGTAAGACCCTGCGAGTAGTTTTTTGCACCTTTGCAAAAAAATGCACCACAATTATGTTCGCCTGTAGTAGCAAAGACGACAACCATAAACATGTGCAACTCTGAACTACTAGTTGTTAATCTATTTTTGATAGTAGCGATGTTCCTTTTGTTGGTATTTGGTGTGTGTGTGCAGTAGCGGAAGTATCGTCGTGATATAGCTCTGTAGCCATGTTGTTCAAAATAAGTCGGTGCGCACGATTCATGTATGCCCTAACTAGACATTATAAAATGATAAATATTTAATTAGACGAGCATATATTATTTGCTTGGCATTCCTCCGAATACCATCCATGTGATGTGGTGTGTATATATATATATATCTATATTATATATATATATGTATGACAGGCTTTGATCTGAATAAAATTTGACCAAATGATGAGCATGAATATATCGTTATATATATCTTCTTTATAAACGTTTTACTTTTAATACGTTTACCCTTACACAAATTATATACGAAAAGCAAATAACCACGTGGGAGATTCGAACCCCGGTTTCATAGATAACAGTTTATCGTTCTAACAACTATACTAACAACACATACACGTATATGAACGTCGTTTAACGTAGATGAATACGTCATTACGTACATCACTTCCTTACTCCCCTCTCGCGGATGGTATCGCCCATGACCAGTCAAGCATGAAAAAACTTTTGCAGCTAAATGGCCGTATTTCAGCCGAAACTTTTTCACTCCCCGAGGCACAAAATATGAATTTACGCCTATAATACACGCGCACGCGTGCGTGCAACCATACCCGCGTGTGCGCGCCCGGTCGCGTGTGTGTATGTGTGCTTGTGTGACTATAAAAACGCATATTATAGCCGTATATCCACATTTTGTGCCTCGGGGGGGTGAAAAAGTCGAGGTTGAAAACCAGCCATTTGCCTGGCTAACATTTCACCGTGCAACGGATGCCGTGGGCGATACTATCCGCGAGAGGGGGAGGGAAATACTGAGGGGAAGGGAGTGAGAGGGGAGGGGGAAGGGAGTGAGAGGGGAGGAGGAAGGAAAGAGGAGAGAAAGGGGAGAGGGACGGAGGGAGGGATGAATGCAGACGGAGATGTGCACACGTATATATGCGCAGTACATACGCGCAGACAAACGCACGTACGGCACAAACGGCACACACACAGGCACGGATGCACATATATTCCTTCTAATATAGTTACTTCTCTCGCCTTACCGCCCACCCTCTCCCTCTCCGTGACTTTCACCCCCTCTCTCTCTCTCACACTCTCTCTCGCGCAATATTTCTCTTCACGCACGCACGCAGGCACACACACTCTCACTCTCTCTGTATATATATATATCTCTCTCTGGCGCGCTATATATATTCACATATGTATATATATATATAGACATAATAAAATAAATAATAATATTTGCCTGAATAAAATTCACCGTGCTAACGAGGTCGTAGGCGATACCATTTGGGAGAGGGGCTCACTGGTTCCCGAAAGAAAATACCCTGATATGATATAGATTAAAGTACCATATAAATAGACAGACATATCAGATATAGATAGAAATAGATAGAATACCAGATATTGAATGAAAAAGTATGTTTTTTTTTCTTGGTTTTTCGTGATGGTTGATTCTTATGGTACATTATTACTGCTAGGTACTCAGTACATGGTTCCCAAAAGTGTGAATGATTTTTTCAACGACTTCAAGGACATGTTTTTTTTCAAGGACAATCTGTGACAAGTAGTTTTAACATTTTACAGTCATCTGACATCATATATATATATACCTACCTTAGATTCATATATAAAGTAAAAAATAGTTGTTTTACACGTAATTCAATGAGAGCAATCCTTTCTCTATAAATTTCTTGCTAATAGTATTTGCTGAGCTGGTGAAATTAAAGATCTTCTTTGGCCTCCAACCCATGGAAACAACCAAAATTCACAGAACAATATCTGCAAAAACTAGTTTGTTTTCCCTCTTTTAGTCATGGGTGGCATGGGCAGGGATCGTAACTATAATTATGCTGACTATTAAAATAATTATTTATTTATTACTCAGCTTGTATTTTCCTACAACAAATTACACACAAATTGTCACAATTGTAGCAAAATATGAACACCGAGTAATAAATAAATATTTAAATGATGAACTTATAGTCTAGACACCTACACCACGGTCCACATGTATGTAAAAATTAGGGACAAAACAAACTACTTTGGTAGAGTACATTAGTAGACAATGACATGTGAATTTTGGATTAAATTTAACATTTTTATCGAAGACTTGGAATAGGGTTAGTCAGATAACCAGCAATGAAGATTTGCTTTTTATTTTAGATCAAAAATGTAAAATTCCAGGACATTAGACATAAAATAAGGACTTGGACCTAGTATTTCCAAGGATTTTCAATGACAAAAGTAAAAATTAAGGACTTTCAAGGACAATGGAAAAAATTCAAGGACTTTCAAGGACAATGGACAAAATTCAAAGATTTTCAATGACAAAAGGAACAAGGACCTTTCAAGCACAATGGACAAAATTCAAGGACTTTCAAGGGCTATGGCCGGGGACCCTGCAATAAAGAACGTACACAATCTAGACGTACAAAAGACACAAAATAATAACTCGCAACATGCTGGTGACCGACTGTCTATCGATGTTTAATCAGTGTGAATTCAACACGAACAGTTAGTTATTCAACATTAAATTTCCACACCCGAACATCTTCATTGCAAGAGTATTGCTGAAATAGTGTACGCGGTACGTAGAGGGCAGCACCGTCCAGTGATATATTGTACAATTGTACATAGATCTTTGATAGCAATTCGAATCTCCCGACCCGGAGAACAATACATACATTGTATATAATATATACAATGTATTCAATGTATTACAACATTATTGTTCTCAGGCCCGACCAGGCTCCACGACTGATTCACGACGTAGGAATCTTCTCGACACGTACCGAGAGGCGAGAAGGTAACTTGTGGCTACATGCACATGGATATACATACATACATGATCAGCAATTATTTTTGGATCGATAGCATCATCGGGCCGTGTAAGTAGTACTAGCAAGAGTGTATAATATAAATATCTCTATATTATACACTCCTGGTACTAGTAGTACTACTGCACACTACCTCCACACAATCACCGCAGCGACACTGGACCGCTCGTAACAGCAGTGCAATTATAAGAAAACTGTGGAAATGCCAAATCTAGTGAAATTCCATCCGTGTCCCCCTCTCTATCGTCCGCCAAGTGAACACCCCACCCCGTACGTACGAACACGTACGCGCGCCTTGACGATACATAAATACGGTAAAAGTATATAACAGCTCTGCCGCAGCACACAACGTACAAACCTACGTAAAACGCTACATACATAACACACAGCCCTCGACAGTCGGCTAATGCGCGAATGTATGTTCAATCCTAGTTTAGGACCCCTGTATATATAGTTCGCATATATGCTAAGCTAATCCGGGGTGATAAACTAGGATTAGGCCCGACTGTTAAACGCAGCTGTAGTGTCAGCAACAGTAGTTTCCTTTTTCCGGTACAAAATTCGCCCGCCCCCTCCTTCTTTCGCCGCCACACATAACAGCAGGATCACGCGGATAAAGAGATACACAAAGATCCATCGCCTATATTCATGTACTTCTGATAACACGGGGTGTCATCTCACCAAACGACGGGCTCGCGACGCGGTGACGTCATCGACGTCGCCATGACGACGCGGGCTCGTTAGATTTGCGAGCAGACGCCTGAGAGTTGCTTCTAGCATATCAATTACTAGCACCTGTCGGACGACAATCGCGGAGAAAGCATCTTCCCTGGCAACCGTTGCTAGGGGCGACCGCACTCGTGAGGAAGCGTGAGTGTTTCGTGATAGGATGCTGCGCGATCGTGTCACGGGGGACGGCTGGAGATGCGCTCCAAGAGAGAGAGAAGATGAGGAGAGAGTAAGAGAGAGAGGAGAGGAAGAGAGAAATAAAGGGAAAGAGAGAGAGAGCGAGAGAATGAGAGGGAGACAGCGATAGAGAGCAAACGAGAAAGACAGAGAGACAGAGACAAAAAGCTAGAGCAAGAGAGGGAGAGAGAGAAAGGAGAGAGGAGGAAAGAGACGAGAGGAGAGACAGAGAGAAAGAAGAAGAAGAGCAGACAGAGGAAGAGAGGGGAGAGATCCGGTGACGGAGCGTGAGAGAGAGAGAGATCAGAGGAGAGAGCCTCCGACGCGGAGCAGAGAGAGAGAGAAAGAGAGATAGATAGAAAGAGATGGGAGGGAGAGAGAGAGAGAGACGGAGCCGGAAGAAGAGATAAACACAACCACCACGGCCGAAAGAAATCGGCCACCTCGCACGACAAAAGATCTCGACGTGGAAACTTAAATCTCAGTGCCTGCGGTTCAACAAAGTAAATAAGTAACATCATAACAACACATTGCTATACATGACAGAGTACCCGCACCCACACTCATCACACCAGCGCCCACCCTTCCCTACTAAACACTAGCAACATAAAACATTGCCATAGAACATTGCCATTCAAATAAAACATAGTGATACAGCACGCCAGAGTGAGCATTAACTTACATTAAACATAGGCTGAGATTCTGCAACACGATCGCATTTAAAGTCCAAATTAAAAACAAAACAAAACAAATATAGACTTTTCTGAGACAAGCAAGTCTGCTGCCAGCAAAGTAAAAGAAGAAAACATTTTTTTCGGTGGAAAAGGTTCAAAAGAAAACGTTTTTTTATCACCCATATCAATGAGTATTTTGCGGTTACGCTGGCTAACCTTTCTAAAGGCATTCCCCATACAGTTAGACAGCACGTTGCACACCTTGGTAATGATTTCAACGGGAAAATATAAAACCTATACGGACAAGCATACGGCCATCAGTTATCCGGAGGGAAAGAAGCAGTTTTTCCAACTGAAACTCGACCTCTGCAGGGATAGCCACCCACTGTGCTCCTTAACAATGAATGGAATTACCTACATAGAAAAGTTTACCATAGATTCGCTCCTATAATATTTCTGTTTATTCGTCGATTGGTTCTTAGCTGGCTGATATTCCACCTAATCTATCTACGGATAGACTTCTATCATCGGCATCTGTAGTAGCACCTCTTACTCCTTATCTAACATTGCTTATTTGGAGTTTTCCTGCAAATCTCTTGCATTAATCCCTCCATTCTTACACGCACCTCTAATAAGGCATCACCCCCGCATCGGTGCAAGAGTAGTACATACTCTCCCTTATAACACGATACCCTAGCTACCTTCCCCCGATCCCAACACTCCCTCCCAACAACAAGAGATTCAACCTAAACTACCCGCCTTGTACATTCGCGCCCGTCCCTTGTAAAAAGTATGCATAAACCGACTGACTCTGTGGACCCGCC